CAATCAGGTGTCCCGCGATGAGGGCTGGCTGGTGGGGGCCATTGGGTCTTTCCTTGAGGAGCTGCTGTCCAGCTCAGATCCCGCCGTGGTGCTGGAAGCTGGCAGGACACTGCTGGAGGTGAGGGCCAATCCAACAGAATGCCCAGCACTGAATGTGCAGAGTGCTCTTAGAACAATGGTGTAGCACTGCACACATTGCTAGGGGCGGTGGCTCTCAAGTCATCTTCGAGGACCTTTGCCAACATATGGTAGATCACTGCACTGTTGTGTGCACAAGCAGTGTTGCGAATCGTGTTGTTGTGCTTCGCCGCAAAGGCAGATGGACATTGTTTTGTCCAGTGCTTCTGCTGAATGAGATGGTGGAGAGTGGCTGTCATGAGCGTGTGACGTACCCCTCTTCCAGGTCAGCTCGGTTCTTGTGCAAGGCTTTGTGGCAGAGATGGGTTGCATGGCATGCTGCATGAGATTGGACATGTTGCATCAGGTCATCTTGCGGGTGAATAGATTGAAGAAGACTGCAGTTGCAGTGAAAGATTGCAGTGGAGCTTTGAACACATGTGGATTCTGTGCATTAGGACAATTGCTGCCGGTTTTGCTGGTGTCAGGCCTAATGTCGTCTGAAGGCAAAAGACGCTTTCTTCTTTTTAACAGATTCCTCATCTGGTGAGTTGTCCTGCAGGTTGGCCACTGGTGCTTCACAATGCCTGTCAACTATGGCAGTGGCCAGATATCGGCCAGTGGATGGGTCGCCAAGGCCAGCTCTGCCCTGCTGTCCCTGTGGGACAAGCAGAACGCCCTCCCTGCAAGGCCAGACATCATCGTCGCCGTCACCAAGCACCTTTGCGACTTTGAGGTTTGTCAATAAACTTGCAGAAACGCCGATGGACAAAATGTGCTGTTAGTAAGTAGATTATTAAGTCGGTCAGTCGTTGACGCTGTGTTGCTGTGGTTGTATCATTGTCCCAGCAGATCAGTCAAGTGTGTTTGTCCAAACCATGGCTAGAAGAGAAGAGAAAAAAACCTAGCATGTCTCCCTGAGTGGCAGGCGAAGGATGACATCAACAAGCACAAGGGGAGCACTGTCTCTCTTGGCCTGCTGCAAACTTTCCACCCTTTGCTGCTCAGCACGGAACTGCAGCCAAAGGATTGTAGCCCGAGAAGCTCTCACCTGCGCCTGGGTTGCCCTATCTGGCGCCCCACCTTAAGACAGCCATAAGACGGCGCAAAAGGACAGTCAAAAAAAGTCAAGGCTGCAACATATCATTCAAAGTGTCCAGACGTGTAGGAACAACACCTGAATCACCGTGTGGCATTGTGGTCAATGGGACCACCTGTAGGCCACTCACCCTCCTCACGATCGCCAGCAGCATCGGCCACCCCTTGTGGCTGCGTTGCAGGCACCCTTTCTTGGAGCAAGGTCTCAGGGCGTGCTCGCCCTCATCCCCCAGCTGCAGAATGCGGATGACAGAGTCAGGGCGCTGGCCCAGGTGTGGCACGCGGTGCTGGTGACGGAGTTGAGAATTCGCAGTGAGAGGCGGGCGCGGGGCGACTCTGCAGGCCAGCTCATCCTGCAGCCTGTGCTAGAGGGGGGCTTTGTCAGCAGCATTGTGTCTGGCACCAGGAACCCAAGAATTGAACCAGCTCTGGCCGCTATGATATCCAGGTCAGATCTGGCAGTGATTGTTGCTGTATTTCTGTTGAGATTTCTGCGATGATTACCTTGGGGTAGTCTATTACAAGATGATCTAATGCGCAATGCAGTGCACCAGGGTTGTGCCGCTAAGGTGGAGCTGGCAGCAGATGCTTCTCTTCAGTTTCAGTTGTACTGCATTATTGGCCACCTTAAACTACTTTCTGCAATCCCACGATTTAGGACAGTGCACTGGGGCCGTGATTGCAGGGTGAAAACCAACAGCAGGTGATGATGTGACATAGCTGTAGTAGGCTTGCTGTAGCAATGCGGATGCGATCGATATAATACGTTGCAATTAAATATCTGGCAGAGGCTGTGCATCTTCAATCTGGAAACTCGTGATGGGACAAACAGTTTGATGTCTCTTTGATTTTTTTCTCTTGCGCTGTGCAGAGCACAGTACCCGGCCTTCAAGGAAGAGCTTGTGTGCAGCTTGCTGCAGTCGCTGATGCAGCTCATGAGCGTGGACGAAGTCCAGGAGGCATTCGCGGAGGCCGATCCAGCAGTTTCTCAGTCAAGCAGTGCGGCTGCCCTGAAGTCCGCGATCAAGGCTGATCGTCAGTGGCAGGCTGTCGACTGGATGGCCGCCACAGTTGTTGCACTTCATGAAATGCAGGCATGGTTGCACACTGCCAGAGTATCGTTGGATGCCACTGGCTGTGTTTGTACTTGTTGAACTTTGTAGTACAAATATGGTATAATATGTTTGAAGACAACGAAGTTGTATAAGCTGCGTCCAACTATCGAAATTCCATTGCATGATGCTTCAGTGTCAAAAAGACCAGGGGACCATTTGTGATGTATTGAATATTCTTGTGGTGTACTAGCTTGCATTTCTGTTACTGCTGGTTGCATGGATTCAGGTGCTTGATGCTTTGTTTGTTACTTTGCAATATTTGCCATTTGCCCTTTCATGTGCTCAATCAGTTCTTGTGATTGCTATTACACTGTGGCTTATTGCTCTAAACTGTACGAGCGCTTTGCATCAGAGTGATGCAGCAGCGAGCAAGTTTCAGAAGTTGGTATTTGGCTCAATGGCCTTGTGTTGCACCGCAATGCAGCTCCCATCTGATCTTCACCAATAGTTGCATTGTCAATGATTTCGATTATTAGAAACCTAAGAAAATTGAAATCAAAGTGTAGACCACAAGGAAACAGTCGCTGCAAGTTTTAAGTTGCGTGTGAACTTGTGCACTTTTTAATTTTTTTTTTGTTGGGTGTCCAGCGAAGTTGACTTTTTGAGACTTTCCCGACCCATTTTTTTTTGCTTTTGCAGGCGTGCCTTGGCTGGGAACCTGAGGTTGTGGAGTTCCAGCTGGGAATGACGCTGCCGTCCGACCTGTGGCTGCAGCTGCTGCAGGCTGTGGGCCACACCCTGCACCTGATCCTCCAGTACTTTGGCACAACGGGGGTCATACGCGTGAGGAAGGAGGGTGGCAAGAAAAACCTCAGCGATGCCAACTCTGTCAGCCTGCTGAAGACAGCTGCTGCGGAAGGGGCAGAGATCCAAAAGATGATGAGAAGGGTGAGGTACAAGTCCAGTTGTCCAAAAGTGTCACACTGTACTATGGGGCTTTAGTTTTATGCCAACCTGACGCATCACACTGGAGTAGAATTGTACGGCAGTGCTTTTCTTCTTTTAAATTTGCTATTTTCTTTGTAGGAAGGGAAGTGCAGTTAGGAGACTTTCGGTGCCCACCATTATGTGGACATTGTGTTGTATATCACAATTCATTTCAGAGCTGAGAAACAGTCCATTTCCCCTTCCCCCTGCCTTTGTTCAAGACAAGAGGTATAGTAGCAGTGTCCCTTTCCAATGTGCCTTGTTCCGTTTTACTGTGCATCACCGCCAGCATCAGCATGCTCAAAAATGTCAATTTACTGGCTGAATGGCATCCTATGAAACTGGGTTGTTATTCCTGTGAGAGTAAGAGGAAGTCTGCATATTATCTCAACAGTGCCTTTTGTTAAAGGAAATGGGCTTTGGTGCATTTGGAAGGGAAAATGTAGATGTAGACGTACACAATGAAGATGAGAGAAATGTGACATGATGTCAGTGATGCAGCTGACTTTTTACTGCATAACATGCTCGATGTGAGCATCAATGTTGCGGCTGCCTGCACATGTACAGATGCTTACCTACTGGGGATTTCTCAACCCTGCTTTGCAACCTCGAGTCCTTTGGATCGTTACCCGGCACCTTGAGATGCCTGCAGAGTCTGGCCAGATGTGGGGGCAAATGTTCATGGCACTCAATGATGTCCTGCTGGTGCGGCCGTCGGAAGCCCGGAAAAAGGAAATCAGAGACAGGGCAGCAGCTGCAGCGGAGGGGAGGATGGCCCAGATGCAGTCCAAGGTGTGTGGATCTTTTGCATTGGAATCTTTTGAATCTTTTGCATCTTTTGCTGGAAAATCGCAACTGAAACTCTTACATCTGCTTGCCATTCCATGCGCAAATCCACATGGAAGTAACCCATTCAAGCCATCACCACTTAAGCCAAAGGCCAGTCTTCTCCAAGGTGTGCTGGAAAATGGGGTGGTGTTGGCACATCCAAACCTGATCGGCTGCTCCCCTTGCAGCAGGGAAGTGGTGCATCAGATGCTGTGAAGCAGAATACAGTCTCAGAACAACTTGCTCCAAAGGTGAATCTTTACAGGAAGAGGTGTCCAGTTGCGCAGTGGATGCCGCCACCTGAACAAAATGGAGTTGGGTGTGGACCCCTGATCAAGCCACTGCTCGCTCAAGTTCTTGTCGCACTAACTCAATAAGCAACTAATTGAAAATGCTGTTCTGCAGGAGTCTCATATCTTTGTCCTGAGCAATGCTGCCCAGAACGGCTTTATTGTTGGTAGCAGTTATCTTTATGCATCTGTGCATTGTTTACTTTTTTCTTTATGCTCTTGATGTGTAATTCGCAGCAAGAACACTACAATGCTAGGACACATGGCATATTCACACCATTTGTTTGTGTGTTTATGTTTGTGTCAGTGGTTATTTGGATATGTGAGAAGCAAGGTGGAGGATCATGTTGTTTATGTAAGCAACAATTATGTGCACAGGGAACTGCATATTTCACCTGTGCTGTTGTTTTGATGACTAACATGACATGGGGTTTAACGCTGCACCATGTGTCCATCAGGTGTGCTGTCCAATGTGTGCTCTAAATGCTGCCAGCGCTGTCCACCTGACACCAAAGGATTGACCAAATTTTGCAGTTCAAAATGAAAGCATGAAGGATAACAATAACTGTACGATACCCTATTCTGACAGGTTGTGCTTTGCAGGGATCTGGTCCCTCCACACCTCGAAGCAGCCGGCAGCCACTGGCGATGCCACCTTCGCTAGACCACGCTGAGGTTGCCCTTGAGGGGCTGGTGGTGGGCATGGCGTGCCTGCGCTACCAAGCGGACCTGCTGGCCCAGCACGCCAAGACTGCGCTGCCACCCAAGACGCTGGCTGGTGTGCGTCATGTGGCACACAACCTTGAGCAGATCTGCTCCAAACTGCAGGACAAGGAGCACTGCAGCGTGGACATAAGGGAAATGTGCAGCAGCAGCCTGCAGGTCCTGGCCAAGGCCTCTGAAGTGCAAGGTGGGACCCTCTCCCTTGTGTCTGATGGGGCCCTGGCTAGTATTTTTTGTTGTCTCTTTTTCTGGTTTCCTTTCTGTCTTTTTTTCTATCTCCTCTTTTTTTTGTGTTCTACTGGTCATTGTTCAGGGTTTTGTAGCCCATCTTTTGGCATTTTGTAACTGATTGATTGTTGTAAATATGAACAGCGTGTGGAGCCACAATACGCAGAGAAAACGAACACCTGATGCTGGCACCCTTGCTATCGTGTGCCGTGCACAGCGTTATCATTGCATAGTGTGCTGTTGACAAAACACTTTTCTTGAATGGAATCAACAGGATGGGCTGTGGTGAGCACATTAGATCCAAACGGCAACACCACTCCACCTTGAGCCCCAGTCAGTCAATGTAGCGAAACATGGTGCTGCAGTAGCAGAGGAAACATGCCTTGATTTGCTTTGGAATGTAGTTGTGGTTTCAATTGGACTGCACACCCTTTAAGCCACAGCCAGGCGCACTCCTACAACAAACTAAATCTCCACAGATACCCACCAGTGACTCATAGGTCTGAACCTGGCCTTTGTTCACAGGTCAAGTCGCTTATTGTCTTTTGGGTTGTACTGGGTTGGCAAAAGTTCCTGTCTGCTGCGGCATCGACTGTGAGGGAAAGAATGTGTTAGTGGAGTGCGTTGGTAAACGAAGGCCTCCCCTACAGCAATGTGGACAACAACACAGCTGATCACGGCACATGTCACATGTTGAGTTAAGATCGTCAGACAGCGTCAGTTTTTCCAAACAATCTCCAATCGAATGCAAGTGTCACTCCAGGTGTGCTGCTTGCTGCTGAGCTGCTTTGTATCATTGGGCTGTGCCCAACTGCCTGTATGGGGGCATTGCCAAAGATGTTGCGTGCACTTTTCACCTCCAGGTTCTGAACCTGATGCGGACGGTGAGCCGATGGATAGGGGCGCGAGCACTGGGACATCGACTCCCAATGAGAGCGACCCAAATCAGCCCATGGCTTCCCCAAGGCCGGAAGCTGGTATTCTTGACAGACCACCTGGCCAGTGCATTCTGGAAGGCTATCCATTCGGAGCCCCCAAATCACAGGTGAGCCAAAGGCCAGGGTGTTTGTATGGAGCTAGCAGGCTGTTGAGCGTTTTCTTTTGGTGAACTTTTGAGTGATTCCATATGCAGCCAGCACGTGGAAAGCAACGTATTGATAACAGGCTTGGGCCCAGAAATTCATTCCCAGAGGGAGATTATGGGGACAGCATTTATGATGATCTGTGGTCAGATTGATGCTGGTAGGTGCTCATAAGGCTATGAGTTGCCGCCTTACCAGCACCAGCATGTACTAAAGCCACACAGGGTATCTGTTATGCCTTTGCAGCACCTGCTACATTTGCACATACTGCATATGGATTGTTGTGTATTGTTCTTGTACTTCCTCAAGTACATGCTTTCAGTATGTGCACCAATTGCCATACAGATTGCACTGGCCTTGAATGCACACAAAGGCGGTGTTGGTTGCTTTTCACAGACACACTCAACAAACATTGGTTACTACTGTTGCTTGCTTTGTTTCAGCCATGATTGCATCTCTCCATGCACAAATGGAATTAGAAGTTTGTCAAAATGACTGCTGTTGGCGTGCAGGCTACCCGGCACGCCAAGCGCGCTCGTAGGCATCGAGCGCTGGCCTCCTGCGTACAAGAGGCTGTGAGGGGAGCCTTCAGCCATGGCAGTGCCAGGCCCGTTGGAGACGATCCACCACCTGTGGTGGGCCAGTCGAGTCCCGATGAGCTGGCTGCTGCTGTGGGGGGACTGGGCCTCAAGGTGGAGGACAGTCGGGCTGGTCATGCTCACGAACTCACAGGCCCTGGGGACCCCGTGCGCCTGACGGCTGAGCACAGGTAATGAGCGATCAAATCGGTGCGTTGAACAGTCAAGGCCCACGTGATGTGTGCTTTGCCATTTACGATTTTGCACCCCAAGTGGATCTTGGATATGCAAGCAGGAAAGGCACGTTAGTCAACGTTTGTTTTTTGGAAAAATATGGTACACTGAAATGACTCATGTCAAACGACTCGTTGTATTCAATGACTCATTTCATTTTGGGTTGGTAATGTCATAGAGAGGTGTCTTAAGAGCCACTTGAAGAATCAAACTTGACACCAGTGCCATACTTCAGCAGCAGGAAATGAGTGCTTGTGCTGGTGCTGCTTGTTGTTAGGAGCCCAATGCAGGGAGCTGAATTGTTGAATATTGTGTTTAAAACCTGCCTAGCTGGATGATGGGCTCCATTGCAGTGCACCACTTGCTCATCTTTGTTGATTAGGTGCAGGAGCTGCGTCTGGCCATGCGCTGGTAAGGATGCAAAGGGCTCACATTTCGCCTGTGTTTTGGATGTTTGGCTTTGTCATCAAGCTCCGGCATGCCCAGCTGAAGTGCGAGGGTCCTTCCTGTCTCTGAATGTCCCATGTGTCACGTCCTAGCGATGCTATGCTGCATGCTGTTCTCCACTGCTTGTGTTTCGAATGGTGCAGCCCAGACTTTGGGGAGGGCTGCAGCTGTTAATTTAAACAGACCTACATCCTTTGACCCACTTAGCTTCTCATGCAGACCTCCTTGATTATTTGCATTCTCTTACATCTCGTGGCCATCTTCTGTCCATCGTAGACACACACACACGTGCACCGTACCACTGCAGACTGGATAGACCTCGATACCATTTTGTATAGATTGGAGAGGAAACTCACCCAAAAGATATGTTCAGGAGAGGTGTGGCCTCTGCATGCCCTTCATGCACACTGCTTAGAGGACATTCTGTGGCTGACCGAAAACATCATTACCATTGAACTAATCCAGGTGATGTTAGAGATGCAGCATTGACTGTCTTTCCACGTGTGGCTGTGCTTTCAGGGTGAACTGCGGGGCAAGGTCGGTGACCATCACACTCATCACAGAAAACCAACTGAGTGTCACCCTTGAAGGCGTCCAGCTTGGAATTGCTGTCGAAGGACCTGCGTCTGCACCAGAGGAGCGGAACCTGAACACATCGTGGAACATCCCCCCGCACGTGAGACTAAGCGCTCCTGGGAATTGTCATTTTTTATTCTAGAGTAACATGCATTTTTTGTGAATTCCAATGTATTACAGTTGATCTAAGCAAGGAGCTCCTCCACAAATCATAAAGCACAACGGGTCCTTTTCCAGCAGGAGCCGAAGTAGGGTCCCAAACAATAAGATAGGAAGAAGGCATCAGTGTTCAGTCAATGCTCAATATCCATGCAGAGGAGTCTCTAGGAAGGAGAGGAAGAGTTTGTCAGGTCATGTCCCAAAATGTATCGAAACACCCCGGTACATCCCAAGTTTGTTGCCCTCTCTGACTTCCAGCATCGATCATAACCCCGTCAATGCAAACAGAAATCTCTCTCAATTTTGAGTACATACCCGTCGAAGAGCCTCCAGAAGCTGGGCCAAGAAAGGTCGTCCTGGTCCAAAAAGATAAGCCCAATTCCAATCACCATATCCATGTGTCAAGTAACAGATCTCACTGGTCAGTTGCTGCCGCAGAAGAGCAAAACGGGGACAATGCAAAAGATGGTGGTTTCTGACAACTATAGGATAGTGACACCATGTGCATTGTGAGTCATCGAAGAGGCAAAAATGGCACAGGTATTGGTTTGTTGGATAGTGGCCCATTAGAAATTGGCCACTAAAGACACGTTTCTCCGTGAGAGGTCTTTAGTCCAACTCAAGGAATGAGGGAATCGCGGCATCTACTGAGTAGTATCTGTGCATTGATTATTACGGCACCTGCCGTCCTATATTTGTTATACAAATTAAAATTTAGAACAGTACTGCCAACTAGAGCCCAGGTGCTATGCCAGCCCCAATCTGACGAAAGAAGTGTGGTCCATATGGCACCTCCCAAGAGAACACAAGATTAGAGGTATTGAAGGTATTCTGTGTGAAAATGAAAGCTCAATATTGGGCAGGCGAAATTTGGCACTCTGGCTTGGCACCAGCAGATCAGAATGGTGGGTAAGCATGACAGGTTTTTTAACAATGCAAATTGTTGTCCTCGACCAGGCTGCTCAGATGTTGAACTCTATGTGGAACACTATATGCTGGAGTAGCATGCTGTGTCTGCCCCATTAAAAATATCCAGAATGGTCACAACCTGGAAATTCATCGCATAAATTGGTCCAGCAAAATCTGCATGAAACTGATGGAACAATGGGTAAGATAAGACAAAGGAGAGGCCCCCACATGTTGCGATGGAAACTGCATTGTAATGCAATTTTTTGGATTGATGCAGATATTGTCAGCTTGGATGCCAACGATGCCACATTTTCGACGATCAATGGCACACATTCCTACACGGCCACATTCTTTGGGTCCCCTATTCCTTGGTGCTGTTCAGCAACTTGATGTCGATTGCTTTCTATTCACTTCATATTGACAACAGCGACTTCATGCTGACATTGCTGGCTCCTTGCTGAAACTGTAAACTCTTCAGCAGTCTGGGTTTTGGTGTCCAAGATAACACCAACTGCTGAAGAGGGTATGACTGGCGGCACAGGGTTTGCTGCACCAACCTGGTGCCGATTTCAGTGCACACTGCTGACATTGTCGCCTCATCTGGTTTGTTTAATGGGTGAAACACCAGTGATTTTAGCGTTTTAGCAGCCCCAGTGCAGATGCCTTCCATTCTTTGGTTTTCAGGAGTCGAGGATGCACCATGTTGAGCTCAGCTTGTTCGGCTTTGGCCGTGTGGAGCTTCAACTGAAGGTCGACCTGCTGGCCAGTGGCTCCCCGGTGCTGTCATGCTCCCCGCACATAGTTTCACTCGTGGACTTCTTGATGCCACTGGAGGAGCCAACGTCACCAGGCGATTTCTATCGAGAGGTGGATGTGCTGCCTTCTTCTGCACATTTTTCAGGTCTGATATGCCATCGTACCTGACCACGCAGGATGCACCACGCTGATAATGGCAGCGGAGAGTTGTACCAATAGAGCATATTATATCGGGTTTCAATATCAGGTCAGATATTCCATCAGTCCGCTCAAGTGCTGTGCCGATCTGCCTTGGTGGGCTCTCACTTGCAGCCCCTGTGCAGGTTACTGAGAGTTGTGACCAATTGCCGGATGTTGTATGACTGGTCAAAGGACATGTGTGATGCATTGAGAAATCGGTTCAATCTCCAAGGCCATGGCAATTGTAACGGCGTGAAGTGCAGCAAACTCCTTGTAGTTGCCTCTGTATCACCAAGCTCATGTACCTTGATAGATGCGACAATCCTGTCAGGAGACTCCAGTGCAGTGATGGGGATGGTATGAGGCGTGTTTCAGGGCATAAGCCTAGAAATCTAGAACAACATGTGTGTATTTTACAACAGATAGTCAGTGCGAATGTTTGTCCAGAAAGACGTAAAACCTGCCTGTGCCACTGGACAATTCCACTCCAGGCCTGATGCTCCAATCAGTTTCGTATGCACCAGCTGCTATGAAGTTCGTCGAATATAAGAATGTGGAGCAGATAAGTATCGAAGGTTTCAATGTCCTGTCATTGTTGAAATTGCTGTGTACCCAGTCTTGAAGTCTCTCCATCGAGTTCACAGCTTTGGTCCTGTCTTCGTTGCTTATTTTGTGGACAAACATATGGTCATCTGTCAGCACTGTGGCCCACAGAAATGAGCAGAATTGCAGAACTGCAATTCTGCTCATTTCTGTATGGCAAGACAAATTGTCTTGTAAGACAAACGTTGTCTTGAAGACATGCTTCTGCAGGGATGCCTCTATAGCATGTAACAAATGCAGGCCACAAAGTGCCACAAGAAATTGCACACACACCTCTTCTGTGTGCCAGTTTGATGGCTGATATATGGAAAGGCAATGGCTTGTCAATCCATCGTTGTGGGGTGGCAAACAAAGCCTGGGCTGTAGGAATCGTTCTGTGGCAGTGGATGACCAAGCAAGAGTTGGCCTTCTTTCCCAGTGCCAGATGTTGTCCAAATTTCCAGTGCAAGTGACGAACACAGAGCATGCCTACAGGCGTGTGTTCGGATGGTGAACCATTAGCCCACATGTGCTCTGAAGCCGTGCCTTTGATTTTCGATGCCACCCCGTTCACAATTATTATCATGTTGCAACTGGACGTCGATCCATTCCTACAGCGAAAGGATACCCTTGCTGCAGCCACGCGCCAGTGGCCTTGGTCTGAATGCAGTCTTTGTTTCCTATCCACCAGGAAACCTGCCTCAGTAACAGCATCACACAAGTCCACAATTCATCTTCTGGGGGCAGGGGTGGCAGCTGGAGTTTTGAGTATGGTACAATGTCTTGCGATAGACCTAGTCTTGCAATAGTCTCGATCCTTGCAGATCGCTGAGATCATGAATTTTCAATTTGTTGCTTAGTGCGCTGAACTGCTCTGCAGGTGTGTGCCGGTGGCCTGGCTCAGAAGGCGGCCTCAAGCTCCTGTCTGCCCTGGAGACCAAGCCCCTGAGCAGGGTCCTACCCCAACAGCTGATGTCCATGGGCATCATCAATGCCGCCTACGTGGCAAACACCACCCTAGGGGACCGGGTTGCCATCATGATATCAGGGCAGCTTCTGGACATGTGGACGCTGGGGCTTGCCCAAAGGGCGGCACACAGCGGGCCAGGGGCGGGATACCACTTTGTGTGCAGGTGTGCATCACTGGTCACCGCATTATGCCATTTTCCTGTTGCACATTTGCTGTTGTACATTATGCTATGCAAGGCTGCACTGATGAATGTGACGCGTGCCCAATGTGGGTGTTATGTTTGTCAACATTTGACACGTCCAGCCAAAGCGCGCCTGCGACCAGGCATGTGCATATGGGAATGTGAAGTGCTGTGCGCAATTTGGCTAGTGCTACGATGTGATGTGCTTTAGTGGGGCTGATGCATAGTTCGATTACTTTTTGTTCTTCACCCTTGTTTGCAAATTGAGGAACTGCCGGTCCCTGTGACTGAGTCCAGACCTGTGCAATGCAACTTGGAACAGCTGGCTCTCCACCGACAGCGAGATTCCTCAACTGCAGGAAGGGTGGCTACCAAACCATCCCAATGGGCAGCTAAATGGTTTAGTGTCCATCCACCCATGACGATCAGGGTGCCCATGCTTGTTGCTACGTAAATTTGTGGCTTCTTTCCGGTCAGCTGCAGTCAAACTCATGGCTGCATCCTTCCAACGGCTTTTCACCTTCTGCTCCAATCATCACGCTGCACCTTCATCCAACCAGGCACAATGATTCCCTATGCCAGGATTCCTGACAACAATAGATCCCTCACGCAATACATTTGTGTGGAATGACAATGTGCTCTGCTTGGTTCTCACGTCTATCATCGTCTACCAGGTGCAGGGGCTGTGTTTGGTCATTTGGTGGCAAGTTTAATCCATGGATTTTGATGATGATGATGATGACAATGTGCTGGGCAGTGTTCCACAAAGAAGCAATATAGGGCCCTTTGTGCGATGTGTGCATCAAATATGAAGTGATGCGCTATTGTGCTCTGTGCTGCTGGAGTGGGCGTGCCAACATGGGCACTGCACTTGTGCCTGGAATGTTGTTGCTGGCTTGTATGGACCATTGTTGCACAGCAACGACTTCAATGCAATCATGCCCCGTCGTCACTCCAAAGGTGCCACTGTAGCCCGTGGCATCAAATCGGCGCTTTACGCTCTTTGCTGAAAGCCGCTGGCACTTCTGTAGTGTGTGCTATTCTGAACCACCAAAGTGGGGCACTCCAGAGGTGACAGTTGCGACAAGGAGCTCACAGCAACAATGTAAGTGCGCGGCCCTCACTCACTTTTCGACACATGTGGTCAAGTTGCATGCCTGTTTTGTGGTCTCTAGGATCACGGTCGCCTCCAGCAGCGAGAAGGTGATTGCTGCCATCATGGAGTCCCCGAGCGACTTCCTGGCGGACGTCTCCGACGGCGGCCTGGCGCTGGGGCTCAATCCAGGGGGCGGCCCGCCACCGCCCTCCACCCCCATCCAGGGCTGCCTCCTCCCTGACAGGCCCCTGGGCCCAGACCACCAGGACGGCATGGATCTGCAGTCTGTCGTGTTCAATGAGTGGCTGCGGTTACGTTCATAGGCCGGTGGGACAAGGGCTGGGGAGTGCAAAACTTTTTTAACTTTGACAGAAGAGGGTACGCCACTCGCCTTGCAAAACCTGGCGATGATAGGAACATCGCCATCTATGCTGGTGGTGCATTCTGACCGCCTTGGCTGTTGGAGTTGGTTGTTGACAACCAACTAGCTAATCACGGACATATTTGGGAATGCGTGTCATGGTCAGTTGCGAACCACCTATGCTCGTGTTTTCTCAGTCCGTTTGTGACGTTGATGCGGAGGTCACTGAGCACCGGTTGACGGTGACCTCTTTGTCAGCGTCTGCGTACCAGCAGAAAGGAAGGCGCAACGTGGATGCCAGATTGGGATTGGGCCAACAATGTGGAGTTGCGGCTAGGGTGGCCCCGGGCTGAGTGTTTCGTGGCTGGGGTGCTGCCTGCTCCCTGTCATACGTGGCGTGGGTGGAGTTTGTTTGTAAATTTGTTTGCTGTCGTTGGCAAGAAATTGCCCAGTTCACACACCTTGTTCCCTTTCTAATTGCGGTAGTCATTATTAATCACGTCACTTGCTAAAAGTCGTATGTCAGTGCTGTGCCATGTGTCGAAATTGGATCTAATCATGTACGGCAGCAGTAATTGATCGTAAACTGTAAGACGCATTTCGTATAGAAGCATGTTGATGCTACTATTGCATGTAGTATTAGACTAACAATTGCATCCGTTGGTCGATTCGGTGCCTCCACAACCAATAATGATTACAGGATGTGCCCTAAACTGGACTGCTAATCCTCACACACAAAGAGCTACGCGACAGCCAAGTCATGCTGCTTATACTTGGCTCGTCAGTGCACAGCGGAACAAGTATGAGTGAGTACATGTGTATCCCCTCGCCTTCAGGATCCTGTGAGCATAGGCAGGCCATCTCTTGAGGCGCCGTTATCTTCTGTGCTCCGGGCACACCTGCACCCCTGCCCTCGCACACTTATACTCGCATCTGGGGCAGCATTATCCACAATGGAACACTACTAATTGACTTTCGGGCACCATGTGTGGCCAGACGCCATGACATGTGCAAATTTGCGTGAGTGTAGGCATGCTCGGTTGAAATGGAGCCAAAGGCTCTATTGGGACTCCTTTCAGGACATCGTCAGAAACCCTTTCGAGAAGCCATGTGCGACTCCTTCAGATGCGCAGACATGTTGAGTTCTAGAGGCATTCCTAACCTCGGTCATTCAAGTATGCGCTTCCATGCATGCACACCATTTGAACGACGGGTCAATTTCGGGCAGATTGAACCTACATGCGCCCCACATTCCGTGTTGAGCAACACAAAGTTACGCCTTGCGCATCTGTTCGTTGATTCGTCAACAGATTCACCATCAAATAGAGCAATGTCCGTTCTTCGCAAAGGCTTTGCGGCGGCATTGTCATGACACATGGACTATAAACGGGTGGCATCGCCGTTTGGATCCATCTCTAACTCTGGTTGCCTTCAGTTCGCCTAACGGCTTCCCCTGCCCCAAACTGTTCAGCGACCAAACACCGCCACGCGTCTGACTCAGGCAGCGTGCAGCCCCCTTCACCCCCACCCCACCCCACCCCCCCCCTCCCCGAAGGAATATTGGTCCCCACTTCTTTTCTTGAGGAACCCTTCTTCTTCTGCTGACACAATTGGTTGCCCCTTCACCGTCCGGCATGAACCCCATAGCTTGTTACACGAAGTGTGGTTTTGTACATGCGGATTACCTCGTGCGCTTTGCATGGAATCTGGCTGGCCAGCCTGTCCGAAGGCCGCCAACTCAAACAAACATTCCACCGGCGGCCCCAGCCATTCTGGCTTGGCCCATCCCCTTTGAAATCCCTTGACTTTCCCCCGTTCATTCCAATTCTTCCCCACTTCCCAACCGCAAACCTCTAGGCTGGCGCCCTGTATCCGTCCGCCCGCCGACGTTCCCAGGGTACCTAACAGCTACCCATCTCCCTCACTCCCTCCTCTACAGCCTCTACCGCAGCTCCCTCCAACTGCCCCACTAACTATGCGCCCCACTCTCATGCGTTCACAACCGTTCCGGCATTCATTCAGAGTGCTGTTTGACCGGCCCATCCCCACAGGTGCCTAAACAAGAATCGACAACGACGAAGAAAAAGGGCGAACAAGGGACTAATTCCATCCGGCCCCCTCCCGCCCCCACCCTCCGTTACCAAAAGTCCATAAAGCGCCAAAAAAGCCCAAAAAAGCCCAAAAGAGCCCAAAAGCGCGCCAAAAAGGCCCCGCACGCCCCGCCCACGCCGCGTTCACCGCACCTTCCGCCGGAAAAGCGCCCACACGTACGGCAGGCCTCCGCCCACTCCCCCTCCCGTCCTCCCCTCCGCCCGCCGCACAACCTACTCTACAACCCCCCTCCCCACCCCCGTGCGCCCGGTACAGCCCGCGCCATCCACACAAACGCCACCCGCTCCACCGCCTGCCTGCCCCGCTCTGCGCTCACCGTTTTCCCCGCCCATCCCCGCCCACCTCGCAGGCCAAGCCGCCGCGATGCAAGCCCTCCGACGCGCCGCCTCGGCGCTGGCCGCCCGCTCCGCCCAGTCGCAGGTCGGGCGCCTTGACCGACCCATGGACACGATCCCCGGCCGGGAACTGACCCGCATGGCGCCGTTGCTGACTCGATGGATCGCGCTACTTGTCCGCAGGCGGTCGCCAGGGCGTTCGCCGCCAAGGTGAGGCGCTGGAATTGATGGGGATGGGCGTCCTCTGCGGTGGGGCGTTTCAGCTGTTGATTTGCCCACTCGAGGCGGGGATTGAGCAATGTGCGCATTTGGGATGGGCATTTCGGCGTGGGTCAACGGAGTGGACGGACGGGCCGAGGGCGGCGCCTCTGGGATGGGGTGCGCGGTTCTGACACACTTGGGGACGCCCCGTTTCCGTCCGAATTTGTTTTTTGCTTGGTCGGCTTTGGTCGTTTGGTCGTTCTGGAGTGGGTCGTCGGTTTTGAAGTGCGGGTCGTGCGCGTCCCAGAGCATCGCGGATGGGGGAGAGCCCGGGGCGCACGTGAAGATGCTGAACCAGAGCCTCTCCGAGGTCGACCCGGAGCTGTATGACATCATAGAGAAGGAGAAGAACCGCCAGTACAAGGTGCGGCGACAGGCGGCCGCAATAGTCTTGATTTAAATCCATGGACGCCGGGCCTGCAGTCTTTGATGTTTGTGGTCTTTTGTCGTTGTGTGGGACTGGCGCACGCAGGAGGGGGTGATGCGGTGGCTGTGTCTTGAAGGAAGGCTGCCTGCCTGCGCATCTTAATGGTCTGTGGGGCCATTTTCCTGTTTGCCGTTTTGTGGCCGTTTGCGCTGTCTTCCGCGATGTCGACGGACGGTTGTGACCAAATTCAATGGGCGGGAACCTCCTGCAAGTGTGTGTGTATATTGGCACCCGCATCTCTTCTGTTATGACAGAGGCGGGAGCCAGGATCGCAGATGTGATGTTAATGTGCACAAACAAAGAAACAGAATGGAATCATGTTCCCATTCCTATGCTTCAATACAAGGCACACAGGCAGCTATGCCACCAGCACGGATGTGCTCAGAGTCCTTGTCAATGTTGGATGTGAAAGAAGGGGATGCACCATCAGTCAATCGGATCTGTGGTGTATCATTATTCATCCAAATTCGACTGACCTGAGCTTGAACTGTCTGTGGTTGTACCCAGGGTCTGGAGCTCATCCCCTCTGAGAATTTCGTGTCATCCTCCGTCATGGAGGCAGTGGGCTCAGTGATGACTAACAAATACTCAGAGGGCTATCCAGGCGCACGGTATTATGGAGGCAACGAGTTCATTGACATGGCGGAGTCACTTTGCCAGGTGGATGTGCAATTGCCTTGGGGCGTCTTCATCCTGTGGGGTGGAAAACAATAACAATGCATCTGCATCTGCACATATGTGATTGGTAACACTGCAACATATAGTAGTATAAAATGAAATGAACATTCATAACAGTGGCATTAACGTTGTGTGTTCCAATCTGTCAAAACGTGATGGAGCACTGTGCTTGCGATCAAGGTGGTGAAATTGGTTGTTGAGTACTATATGCTCGAGCAGCATCCCAATAACCCTTTGAGAATGTGCTGCAGGGTGCTGTAGCGAGGAAATATGTTTCAATTATTGCACGCACAGTGTGGAAACTTAATTGTCCAATGTCACCTGATGATCATGATGAAAGAAATCTCAGTCACCATTCGCTTGAAAAATGCAACCGATCAGGAATTCATGTGTTGTCCCCAAAACCTGCATTGTAGCTAGTTGTCTGCCGCCTCAAGGCATGCACATACATCTTGAGTTGGTGAAAAGCGATGGTTCCACTGTTGTGCTTTGTGCTAAACTTGTTGGCACAGTGCTCTCACCACCTGCATAGCAAGGGTGCACAAATGATTGTCTCTGAAAGTCAACATCAGGATACAACACACTGCTCATGTCATGGGTCTCTTCTGAACTAACACTGTCAGACAACGAAGGCTTGTAGAAGGCGTTTGGTCTCATAGCTCGTGGCAACTAGAGCACTTGAGGCAGGATAAAAAGTCCTTGTCTGCATCTGAACACACCTTTGTGCAAATCATTACTTTTGTCAGTGGATGCCAACACAAATGAACATACCTTCGTGTTCATTGCCCTGTGGCTGCAACCATAAGATAGCACTTAGGAAGATTTTACTTCCATGTTGTGGAAGATCTGAATGTCGCCAGATGTTCATGTTGACAGCTGGTGCAGGAAGAAAGCCACAGTTGTGGCTTGAGTTACCACCAAGATGGCTTTTTAATGTAAAATTAAACTCAACTGCCTATGTGCTCTGCCTTTTGTAACATCAACGTGAAGTTGCAGGTCCTGTAGTTGACTGGTCAGCTTCTTGCATGGAACAGTATTATGCCACAGCCACATTCGGATCTTACATTTTACATCATTCCCAGCACCGCCAGAATATGGGAGAAATATTTAAGATGTTGCATCTGCAAAGAAGGAAAGCATGCCACCCAATGGCCTTCCCCATCACAGTCAAGGAGGGCAGCCAGCAGCCTCCCAGCGTGAGGGAAAAATGAATTGCATGACATTGTCAGAAGCTGGCCAGAGCTCAAGGGAAGGAACAACAAATGCATCCCCTTGTGCTTTTTGTGCTTGCCACGAATGAAGTCACCAACACCATGATCATTGCAGTGTTCAGACATTCGTTTGTGTCCAGAATGAGTTCTAAAACTTGTGTGAACAGTCCTTATTGAGGGAGCAACGCCACCATAGCTTGTTGGTTGGGTGGCATGTGTGCAGGGTGAAAATCGTATTCAACATGTACCGGCACCTCTGTCAACTCCAGCAGCTGCCGCCCAGTTCCTCTCTGCCAGAAACTGTCCTCTGGTGTTATGCCTAGGACGGAACGACAACACAACTTCTGGAAACGTGTGCGTCGATTCTACAGAAAACTCGAAGTCATTTGGAATTGATGCTGGGGTTTGCTGAACAGACATCTGGCAATTGCGTTAACCTGTACTGCTTGCCTTCTGCAGAAACGTGCTCTCGCTACCTACCGCTGCGACCCTGAGAAGTGGGGTGTCAATGTTCAGTCGCTATCTGGATCGCCTGCCAATTTCCAGGTATGTTGGATGCAAACAAAATCACCTGTGGCCAGAAATTCAAGTGCAAGTTGCACTGTCACGTTCCAAGCGGACAAAGGGAAACCTGCCCATGGAGCCCGTTGCTGATCGCAGATCCCAGGACTTGGATGGCTTGCTGCCACTGAATGCATATATTCTACTGGTTTCTTGCTTTCTTGTCAGTAGTAATGCCATGATTTGTATGAGCACAGCAGAACAATTTATGGTGGTTGTGACATGCTCACTGTACATGGACACAAGGAATGTCACTGTAGATTGTCAATCCATTGATTGCTTGCTTATTTTGGTTGAGTCATAGTATTTTTGCTGCTCTTGCTGCAGGTTTATACAGCTCTTCTTCAGCCCCACGACCGCATCCTTGCTCTGGATCTTCCCCATGGGGGACACCTGAGTCATGGGTATCAGACAGAGACAAAGAAGATATCAGCAACGTCGATTTATTTTGAGGTGCGTTTTGCACATTTCGATTTCATGTGTAGGACGCACCCCTGAGGGTACTAGTAGTTTGCAGGGGGAAGTTTGTGCAGCACAGGTGCCTGTCAACTAGCAGATGGAGTTCCTCTTTGAGAACTATCCTGATACTGTTTTTCTGTGTGCAAATAAGATTATGTCATCTGTCATAACATTTACTCACCAGATTGTTGAGCAGAAGCACTTTCGAAAATGTAAGTTGTGAACATCGAGCTCTTGAAGCCTCAAAACCCCACAATCCAAAAAGACACCAACAGTGCATGGCTGCAACAAAAAACAAGAGTTCTGTTTCATCTTTTATGTGATTGTTGAGAACTGCACCAATAATAACGATCATTGTACGATCACCTCTGTGGACTGTAGCTGTCGCCAAACTAACCAAGAAAGTTCCCTAGAATGGCCAACTTGTGAAACAAAATTGTTTTAACCCTTGCTCTGCCACTCGCATTGCAAGACAAACTGCAGCCCACACAAGGCAGCAGGTCCCATGGAACGCATACTCAGCAACATGTGCAACAGAAACGTAAACTGATGCATGGTGTAATGGACCTGGCTTCCCGCTAGGTGGGTGCTTGATATTGTAGATGTTTTCAGATTCAGCTGCCACTTCACTTACATGCATAGTTGCTTGGCACAGAAAGGTTGCTTGCCCAGTCGATCACGTGGCAAGGGTGGGCTACGAAATTGGGTTTTCATGATGGCATATTGGCCACCTTGTGATTTGGCTGTTGTTTTTGACCAATGTTTTGATACACTCCTTCAGCCAATCGAGAGAATGAGTAGATTGTAGCATAGAATAGGGTGGAAGCATATTGGACATCTCTCCAATGGCTGAACTCATCTAAAACTCATCATTCTGCTCGTCACGTGCACATTCTGAGCTATTAGTAGCCATGTATTGCTGATATTTATTTGTGATTTGGGCTATGGTGTTGTTTGTGCTGTTGTTCCCTTAGCCCCTGATCTCGACTGTGGCTCTGAAAGTACGGTGTGCAAGCAAAGTTGCTTCTGGCCTGTAGGTGGCCTGTGGCAATGGCATCGCTGGTAGTGCTTCTTGTTGTGAGTTGCCATCTGTCAGCAAGGTCACATACCGATGGTCATCAGCAGCCATTCATTACTTTTGATGGATAATTCCATATTGATTTGTACTTGTCAAATTCTAACAAATCACATTCCTTGTGGGACACAAATGCACGCTTGTTGGATGTTGCTTTGCTAATCATGTCCTGCCTATGTGCAAGGGCTTTACTTCATCAGGTAGTTTTGACAAAAGCACTAAACAGAATTCCACATCGCTCGCACTCCAGTGCTATTCTTTTTTCCCATTGAGCAGTACTTAAAGCTGCCGGTGTTTTCTTGTTACAACTTGCAACATTTGCTCTTTCCATTCCAGAATCAATATCATGGGCAGGTGACCAAACCGCTCTGCCACAGATGAGACAGCTAATCTAGTGCCAGGGTGGAAACTCGAGGCCATGAAACAACAGCCCATGGAAACTTTGTAAATGCAAGTGCTGTATTTGAGCACACTGGGTTCTGGGTCAACGCCTCAGGCCAAACATATCTTGGTGGATTGGCAAAGCATGTTCCCAGCCATGTTTTGCTGACAATTGCTGGTGCCTCACGATCTCGACTGTGTCTGCCCTGCCCTGGGACACTTCAAAGAATCGGTTTGCCGCTTCCTGAAAAATGCCATCCAGGGATCGCCAGACAAATGAATATGTATGCATACCCAAACGCACTTTCTGGACCCATGTGCCATTGCTTTGTTTGTGCTCTGATGTTTATGCTCTTGTTTGTTCCCAGACATTTGCATACCGTCTCAATGAGCAGACAGGTCTCATCGACTACGATGCGCTTGAGGAGCAGGCCAAGTACATCCGCCCAAAAATCCTGATCGCCGGTTTCTCTGCTTATGCTCGGCACTACGACTATGCTCGAATGCGCAAGATCGCCGACCAGAACAAGGCCATCTTGTTGGCAGACATGGCCCACGTGAGTGGGCTGGTGGCCGCAGGGGTCATCCCGTCGCCCTTCGAGTTTGCAGATGTTGTGACGACCACGACCCACAAGAGCCTGAGGGGCCCCCGGGGGGCGATGATCTTCTACAGGAAGGGGCAGAAGGGGACAGGGAAGGATGGGAAGCCGATTATGTATGATTTTGAAAGCAAGATCAACTTTGCGGTCTTCCCAGGGCTGCAGGTGAGGCACTGGCTGGCTAAATATGCCAAGCTTGAGTGAAACTGGAAGGCTGAGGTGCATTTTTCAGTCTGCACCAAGCGACGCTGCAAGATTTCAGCAGCATGGATCTGCAACACGCCATGAATTTGAAACAGGATTGCGTGGTATCATTGCTATTAGTTGTGTTGTTTGGGTCAGCTTCAACAGCGACGGGTACCCAAACTTCACCGCGCAGTCACACTTGCTGACAAATTCCCCCCGTTGCACCCATCCCTTCCACAGGGCGGGCCACACAACCACACCATCTCTGGCCTGGCCTGTGCCCTGAAGCAGGCCCAGACGCCCGAGTTCCGGGCCTACCAGGAGCAGGTGCTCAGCAACTCCAAAGCCCTGGCAGCAGGCCTGGCCTCGCGGGGCTACGAGCTGGTGTCAGGTGGCACCGACAACCACCTGCTGCTGCTGGACCTGCGGCCAAAGGGGGTGGATGGCGCACGGGTAGAGCGGGTGCTGGAGCTGGTGCACATTGCCTGCAACAAGAACACAGTGCCAGGTGGGAGGAGGGTGGTCTGTTAACCATGTCCTCTTTGCCTTTCTGCTTGTCTGCTTTTGTCATTGGTGTTTTGCTGCTGTGCTTTTGTGCTGTCAGCGAACACCTGCTGCGAAGGAATGCAGTGCAAGGAGGGCACAGCTACCCTTCAGCGAGAGTCTGTTGTTAGGGCGGTGCTGTATTGTCCAGTCGTATCACGCTCGAGCTTGCCATGTGCACATACCCTACCCTTGAGGATGGACGACAGTGGCCTCATACAGACGATGATAGTTTGGATTTGGGATTCAAAGCTGTGGACAGAGTTGGAAATCTACAAGCATAGGATGGAAACGAAAATTCCATGTAGTGCTATCCATGCAATTGATCAATGTCAGAAACTGAAACAACGTTTGTACATCAGTGTGATTGTACCAGCATGCATTAAGCAAGGGCCCCCTGGTGAACCCATATCTGAGTCCACCTGATTTCGAATTCTTGCACTCCTCAGCTTGTGTGCTGCATACTACATGTCCTCTACAAACGCATAGCACTTTCTTGCAAGGTGAAAAAGGCCCACTGTCACTTGTCCGGACCGATTTGGTACCTGTGGCATGACATTTGATGCGAGACACCGCAACATCAAAAGCAAAGAAGAGCACGAAAACTCACAGCCCCTCCTGTCCTTCCCCCATCCAGGCGACAAGAGCGCCATGGTGCCTGGCGGCCTGCGGATGGGCACCCCTGCCCTCACCTCCCGAGGCTTCGTGGAGTCGGACTTTGAAAAAGTCGCCGAATTTGTGGACCGCGGGGTGAAGATCGCCGCCGCCGTCAAGGACAAGGCTGGTCCCAAAGTAAAGGACTTCAAGGCCTACATCGACAGCAACCCACCAAAGGAGCTGGGCGAGCTAAGGGCAGACGTTGAAAAGTTTTCCAAGCAGTTCCCCACGATAGGGTTCAGCAAGGAGTCAATGCGGTACAAGGATTGAGCTCTGGGAAGGGGGAACCGATCTAGCAGCCCATCCTCCTTTTGAGAAGATACTTATCGCAGGCTTGAGGGAACAGGCATGCTGGGCAGGGGAGGCTCAGGCTTCGACTGGATGGCACACACGGTCTGTGCGTGGAGAGCTCACCATGAATTGGTTCCAGTAGAGTCGTTGGGCTTACAGGGAATGCTCAGGTGTTGGCTGGATGGCACACAGCGTCTGTGCGGAGTGGGCGCGGAGGAGTTTGGCCTCGACACGAACGGTTGCCTGTGCAACAGGTGGAAAACTTGTAGGCACCCAATTTGGGTGCCTGAAGGCCACTGGCTCTCCGTGATGGAGGCGGTGCCAGAGATTGAGCCCCCCTGGCCTTCCTTTCGAGAGGATTTTGTGGGCATCCAATTTTGGCGCGCATACCTGGTCGTGGGTACTCCGATTATTCTGGGGATTGGCTGAACAGACTTTCTAAATTTGTTCATGTTGGCGTCTCTCGTCTTACTCCCACGCGTCCGTGGGTCTCCCCCAGCGAGTACAACAGTAACGAAGTCGCCGTGGGTTCCTGCCACAAAACTGATATTTCCGCACATATCAGATCGAATCGGCATACCAGGCCCGGGACATCAATCATGCAGCAATGTGTTGCCAGGCATGTGGCGAGCGGATAAAACGAATGCATGCGGGACATAGAAACCTTCTTTGAGGTGCAACGGAGCCGGTTTGTCTTGTCGAAGGCAATTGAAAAGGTGGCAGCACACAACTACTCAGGTGTGCTCACCTGCGCTGGTGACAATGACCACACAGGAAAGCGCCAAGCGAAAGGCAAATTAAATCAAAAGCATAAAACTGGCAGTTTTATTTTATTTGTCGTACGGTAGTACCGCAAAGCGCCACTAACTACATGAATGGGCCCCGCTTTGGCGCACCGCACACTGCCGACACTCTGTGTTCAGCGCCTTGAAAACAGTTGCCCTGAAGAAATGGCGCACTGTGGGAAAGAGCACCCACTGGACACCCTCGCTCTTGTCCCCGGTTGACATCAAATTGTTCGAAGATCGCCGAGCCACTGGACGCACTGTCGCCAGGTTATTGGATGCATCGCTGCGATCAACCCTCCTGCAGCTCGCCCAAGAGTCCCCCTGCTGGTTCAGAATCCATTCGACCTTCTAGCATTGGTGCCCCACAGAGGGGGGGAAGGGGAGGCGCTGGAGAGGAGGCAAACAACAGCCGAGACCTCGAGGTGATGAGAGCATTGGGGCAGCCCGAACTATCGATATCGACCGCTTCACCGTGAATTGTACACCCGCTCGTCTTGTCGCCTAGAGTGTTCAAGCTCCAAAAGTCACGCAACCGGTGTGTCGGCTGACAAGGCACGCAAGGGTCGGCAGCGGCCACTGCAGGGCCAGCGACACGTTTCCCAGTCAGGGCTGCACTGAGGAACTGCAGGAAATCATTATTGCGTAACCCCCAGACAATACAATATTGCACGATTCATACCGAACTTCATCTGCTTGGTCAGATGAATGATCCTGGCTGCAACCACAGGAATCTGAATGTACTATTCTGGTCTGATCGCATCGTTGCCTAGGCGCACATTTGCAGCGCGCGCTTTTGAACTGTTTACAAGTTGCCTGCATGGAAACCTCGGTTGCGGTTGAGGGGCAAGTTCCTTGAGCTCATAAGGCATCCTGGCCGATTCTTGAATGATTTGGGGCCCGAAGTACCTAGAAGGTGCCGAACGCCCTTGAGCCGCTCACTGTTTTGTCCTTTCCTTCCAGCCGTTTAAACTGCTTTAAAAGCGTGCGGAAAATTCTGACTCCTGCGGACACAAAAGGTTGTGTCAAAAAACTCTTTTAAGCTCCATAGTCCAAACAGTGGAAGAGGGTTCCACTCCACACAAATGGCCTTTCATACACTGTGTCCATGGCACGCACCGTTGCGTTGTTTCATTGACACACTTGTGGAAGCGATGATTCGACGACTTGCTGGGAATATGCAGCACTGTTTCTTCAGTCGCTTTGGCAGCAGGCCAACATGGTAAAATTTGGTTATCTCTAGGTAAATATAGATATACATGTCCAGGACACATGCTGAGCATTAAATGTGCATACTCTCAGCTGTGTATTTTCAATCATCCAGGATCTGGGAAGCATAAGGAACTTCCTGCCCTCTGTGCTACGCAGTAGACCAAAATGCCCAACCCTGGGACAATGCCCTCATCGCACGTATGCACTGTGAAGCGACCGGGAGCCTTCCAAGGTGTTGTTCAGTATTTTCGTAGGCCACTGTCGCGAGTTCAGCGCAGCGTCTCGTTGCGATCACGTGCCGACTTTTGGCGTCTGGTCTGGAAGCGCTCGCTCGATGCTGCAGATGTGTTTGGACGCTGCGGAGATCAGGCGCATTGGTTCCTGCCACTGAAAGTGCTGCGGCTGGCATGTTCATCCGTGCCCAGACGTAGGGAAGTTCCACTAGCGAAAAAAACAAGCCAGATGACACAGTCCTGACACGGTCAGCTCAAACTCCAACTGTGTACTTTCGGCATATGTGTTCCCCAAACAGCATAGTTGGTACACGCATTGACACAATTTTAACCACGTATCCTAGGAAACCGTGTAGTTTACACAGTTGTTTGAGGGTACATGGTTGAAGCTGTGTCAATGCGTGTACTAACTGTGTTGTTTTGGGACCACGTTTGCCGAAAGTACACAGTTGGAGTTTGAGCAGACCGTGTCAGGACGGTGTTATCTAGCCTGTCCTTTCCTAGCGGTCTGCAAGATGAACGCTGCGCCGATTGTCCTGTGCCTGGGTATTTTGGTAAGGGCGTGCTCCAACACGGCATCGGCGCATATTGGACCGGAGGCATTAGGCGTCCGGGGATGCACGGAAGACTTTTGAGCATTGGCCTCGCAAAGAATGCCATTCTTGCTTTGTTCCGCTACGGTTGCTCAAATTTTGGGGTGGATCCGCCCACAGCTGTCGTGCCCTTGGTGGTGCCAGGTGCCCGAGCTTGCCACTGCCGTGGAGAGCCATCTTGCATTCACGAGCACCATGGAGTGCTCTAATGCCATTGCGACGCCGCGAGGCCTTCGGTTTTAGCGACTGAGGCCGACAGTGGTTCCGCTGCTGCCCTCGCAGGTCGCAGCTGGGCCCCTTTTGAGTTACGCTCGGACGCCCAGGGAGCTGGCTGTGATGCGCATATCAGTGCGTGATGCGGTACACGCACATCGCCTCGCAAGATTGCACTTGTGATGTGTGATGTGTGATTTGTCGATGTCCGCATCAACCAGCGTTGCTGCGCTGCCGATTCACCATCGGGCAGCTGCGGGCCTTCCTAGATTCTCTGCCGCCCGTCACCGAGCCAAAGGAGCACGTCTTGAGCGGAAGTTGGCTGTGCCATTCCTTTCCGTCGTCGAGCATGCACTTACAAGTTGTGCTTTTTGTTTGCGAGCCCGGCAGCCGCCTGCGCGGGGGCAGTCGCAGATGGCCATGGAGATCAACCGACAATAAATACCTCCGCTGAAGCTAACGTTGCCCCCGACTGGGCTGGGTCCGTCTCAAAAGCGCACTACAGAAAAGCCGGTGTGCGCGCCAGCACGGAATGCCTTCCTTGGAGGCATTGTGCAACAATATAAGGCCACTGTCTGGCGCGAAGTTGACGCACCTGCTCCAGCGCACTTTGCCTGACCACATATGCCTATGTTGTGGTTCAGCACCCTGCACGTGGGGCAGTTCGTACCGATGGTGGCATGGGCTGATGGTAAATGCTACTGGACCCAGTACTAGGCATGGTCTATAAAACGTAATTGCGTTGACGCCTTTTCTTTATAAGAACGTAATTACGTTTACGTTTACGTTTTGGCTTTTGCATTCTCACGCCTAAAAACGTAAAAATGCAAAAGAGGCTGTGTTTGCGGCTACATTTATGGCTCGTTGGGACATACACGTTGGGGCGCCAACATGGTGAATTCGCATACAATGGTGAGCCCACCCCCCCCCCAAGCACCCACAACACAGCGTCCACCTTTCCTAGGCAAGAGAAAAGGCATCGTCGGGCACAAGTTCGTTTTCTGCCCACTCCGGCGCGTCCGGCTTCCAATCGATTCCGAACAGATTATCTGCTTGGTTTTCACGCCCACAATTATGTTCGGCGTTGCATCAATGATGCTGCACACACACCAGTGCATCAACATCTACCATTTTTCCAGATACAGTACAGACGCAGCCTGGACTTCAATGCTTACTCTCCTCGTTGGCGGAGCCACTGATCGTTGCCGACTGGGCATTGTAGTCAGTCAACGCGACGCCTGCGGAAGTCGATGCCATGGCAGAGCCACCGGAATAATTGGCATAAACACCGCCCAGAGCGTACGTACGCTCTGATGAGTATACGCAACTGCATGAACACATCAAAATTCTCAGCCCACATAGAGACCCCAGTGCTGGCAGTGAGCAGGCTTGGTCTTTGCGGCGTAAACACTGAGCTTTGTGCGCATTTACTCGTGAAAGTAGTATTTGCGTTTTAACACGTAAATCCACGAAAAAATTACGTAAATCTTCGCCTGGTGTACATATATAAAGTACATGCAGACTCAAGGAGTCCGGGGAGTATTCATGGTCCCAGGTCGCCACACCTTATTGTCCCATGGAACGCAGTGATTTGGCATGAATGATAAATTCCCTATGGACTATGGACAGCCCACGAAGAAAAATCAAAAAAATGCCGCCCTTATAAGATGCTGAAAAGGCAGGTCTTCAGCACTTTGCATGTACACATGTGTTGTGTCTGTGTTGCTCATCAGAGAATGGGAGTTGCTCACACATGGATTTGCTTGTTTTAGCACCCGGTCCCTCATAGATCCCTGAAGCTAAATGTGGTGTATGAAGAATAGAGCCTGGTTGCGGCGTCCTTGACGATGCGCAGCATGTCGCGTTTCAGGTCTGGCCACCGCAGGTACGGTTGCTACCGCCAACACCGGACTGCTGCAGCTACGTTGAAATTTCATCGCTGAAAGGCTGCAAAATGGCAGGGTCACTACCGCCCCTCGTTGCACCCTGGAGCAGACCTCGATTGGAATGCAGGGCTCGACAGTGGCTATTGCCACACGCGTTGAACGTTCTTACATAATTGTGTGCTTCTTGTGATGCAACAGCTGCCAATGGAATGGCCACCACAGACGGTCATGAAGTAAGAACAAGTACATGTGGATGTGCCAAATAGTGCTGCCACGGAAACCGCCCCCGGATTTTCTGATTCCTATTCAGTGAGACGTGCCAGAAACGGTGAAGAGAAAGGTGCGCTGATCAGCATGAACTAGTTCGTTTCACAACACGGTACATAACAACTCCGCCATGGACGCGACACAGCGTGCAGCATTGATGCCTACTTGTATATATTTTCACGCAAAAGGGGCATTGTTATCGCTTGTCTAGCTCAGATTCTCTTGCGGAAAACGAGGCTG